AACCCCGAAAGGGGCACCCGGTCCCGGTTTGGCGACCGCTGTTCCACCATCGCCACAGAGTGGCTCCCGACCGCCAGGCCCGCTCGGGGCCACCCTCGTCCCTTTCGAGCGACCTCCGTCCCGGGGTCTCCGCCATTGGCCGGGGGTTGCATCCTGGCGATTCCTCCCGCCCCCGGGTGACCCCTCCCACTCCGTTAACGGCAACTACATCCTTTTTGGGCAACTTCAACCCCATCGAGAAACGAATTGTCCCCAATGTCTCCAACACCGTGAGGGGGCGTGCCCAGGTGACCCCTTCCACTCCGTTCAGGGCAACTTTGTCATTTTTGGGTAACTTCATCCCCATTTACTTTGGATCTTCCTCATTGGCCCCGGTACCGTGAGGGGGCGTATCCAGGTGACCCCTCCCCCTCAATGGCCCTGGTACCATAGCCAGCTACCACTTACAGGTCATTTTTGGCCAAGTTTTCCCGTTTAGGTAACTCTCTCACAATCAAATTTGGATTTCCATCTTGGGATACTTGTTTTCCCATTTTGGGCAACTTTTTTTCCATTTTGGGCAACTTTCTCACAGTTGCATTTGGATTTCCATTTTGGGCAACTTTTCAATTTTGGGTAACTTTAGAGATGACCCTTCCCACTCCATTAAGGGGCAACTAAAATGAATTGAATATGAATAAGAGAAACGATTGTCTGGTAAATACGATTAAAACAAATGCAATCTTCTGTTTCAATCTGTATTCATCATTTTTGGGCAACTTGGTGAGTTTTGGCTATCTCTGTGTAATCTTGTGTTTCCCAGGCATATGCTATATGCCTGGGGAAGACAAGATCACAGTTTCAAGAACAACTGGTGCAGTCAGTAACCCAACCTAACAGTAGCTCCAATGCATTAAGAAGGGATATAAACATGATTTATTATTCATATTTCTGATGTTTCAAGACGTGTTTTTTCTGTTTTGGGCTACTTTGTCCCATTCTGGGCGACTTTGTCCCGTTTTGGGCGACATTTTTCTGTTTTGGGCAAATTCGTCCTGTTTTGGGCAAATTTGTCCCGTTTTGGGTGACTTTGTCGCGTTTTGGGCGACGCTGTCCTGTTTTGGGCGACTTTTTTCTGGTTTGGGCAAATTCGTCCCGTTTTGGGTGACTTTTTTCCAATTGACTTTGGATCTTGATGCTTTCAGTTGCTGCCTTTTTGTCTAAAATTAACTGAATGTGAATAAAAAAACGATTTACTGTGAAAGATGATTAAAAGAAATGCAACTGTCTGTGTCAATCTGTATTCATCATTTTTGGGCAACTTGGTGAGTTTTGGCTATCTCTGTGCAACAACTCTTCCAGCATACAAGGTTGATGTTTTAAATTGCTGCAGTTTTACAAAAACATGACTAAAATGTCTTGACACATCAGAAATACAGTACAGGCCAAAAGTTTGGACACACCTTCTCATTCAATGCGTTTTCTTTATTTTCATGACTATTTACATTGTAGATTCTCACTGAAGGCATCAAAACTATGAATGAACACATGTGGAGTTATGTACTTAACAAAAAAAGGTGAAATAACTGAAAACATGTTTTATATTCTAGTTTCTTCAAAATAGCCACCCTTTGCTCTGATTACTGCTTTGCACACTCTTGGCATTCTCTCCATGAGCTTCAAGAGGTAGTCACCTGAAATGGTTTTCCAACAGTCTTGAAGGAGTTCCCAGAGGTGTTTAGCACTTGTTGGCCCCTTTGCCTTCACTCTGCGGTCCAGCTCACCCCAAACCATCTCGATTGGGTTCAGGTCCGGTGACTGTGGAGGCCAGGTCATCTGCCGCAGCACTCCATCACTCTCCTTCTTGGTCAAATAGCCCTTACACAGCCTGGAGGTGTGTTTGGGGTCATTGTCCTGTTGAAAAATAAATGATCGTCCAACTAAACGCAAACCGGATGGGATGGCATGTCGCTGCAGGATGCTGTGGTAGCCATGCTGGTTCAGTGTGCCTTCAATTTTGAATAAATCCCCAACAGTGTCACCAGCAAAACACCCCCACACCATCACACCTCCTCCTCCATGCTTCACAGTGGGAACCAGGCATGTGGAATCCATCCGTTCACCTTTTCTGCGTCTCACAAAGACACGGCGGTTGGAACCAAAGATCTCAAATTTGGACTCATCAGACCAAAGCACAGATTTCCACTGGTCTAATGTCCATTCCTTGTGTTTCTTGGCCCAAACAAATC